ATGACATTGTTTTCTCTGATACCAAAGTACTATGCAAACCTCCCGGTTATTATCAAAGATTTGTCCATGAAGCCATCCAAATATACAAACATAGACACAACTTCAACCGAGAGGATGGTTTCAAATTGAGCAACTTTTGGAAAGATGTCATCAACCAAGTCAAACTTTAGCTGGGTTATAATTGTACAGCCGTTTCCGTTTATACCAGGATGGTGCATGCGCTCGTTCAGCACGCCATCGCCCTCCCCCCGAACCCCCTGCAGCATAACAAAAGGTGATTTTTACCCGCTTTCTTGCAGTGCACCACCACTCCCCTCGAACCCCATGCAGAATAAAAAAAGGCGGCTTAACTTAGCCCTCCCCTCCCCACCCACGCCCCTTCCTGGCTCCTCCCCCCCCCCTTAACCTGTATATAATCTCGGGTATTCCAGAGCTGTTCACTTGAGGATACAGCGAATTTTTGCTGTGTCTGTTCCACCTGATGACGGAAGCTTGTGTTGCCTCCGAAACGTCGTGATTTAATTTAGTTGTTTTATTTTATTTTACCTACGTGACTTTACCGAAAAAACAAAGAGTATGAATCCTTGCAGTCACGCAAGCTTCAAATCTAGAATTAGTTTCAATTTGGTGTTTGAACATCCGAACACGTGTTTTATTGCCAGAAAGGGTTAAACCCATTATTTTTTTTCATCGCTTGGAAGGTATTGAACTATTGCCAATTTAATAATGTGTGCATGTTCACTATGCACGCTGTTAGGCTGGCTTAGAATGGGGATTATTGGCATGAGGAAATGAAACAACAGTTTAGCACTGGATCCGCCTTTCCATGGTGGTCCTACATCATTATACCTGACACTAGCTTGTTTGCCCGTCCTAGGGCCGAAGCTGTAATATTTACGCAAAAATTGAGCAGAGTTTAATTGTGTCTCGTGTAAATTTAATGGCAGTGAATCTTGCACGAGAGTATGTCGGCAAACAATTCACTGCGTTTCATTGCAGCACTGTATTAATGGCAGTGATTCTTGCACGAAACTACGTCATGAAACACTTCACTGCAGTTCACCGTAGCACTGTATATAACTGACCTTCAATTTGTTCAAATTCACTGCTCTGATACTTTATTCTCTTCTGATTTCGGTCGCTGGGGTTGAAATAAATTGGAAATCGATACAATATCTGGAAAATCACCGAAAAATGTCTATTTTACCATAACGTAGAAGCATAAATTAGACTTGCCTTTTGTCTCAAGTGCTGAAGAAATAAATAAAGACACCACATCCACTTTGTCGAATTATTTATTAGATTAACTTGCAATAAAGAAACGTCAAACTTAAAACGAATTTGCGAAAAATAATATTTCCGCTCGACCTTCTGCGTGAGAGTAAAAATCCACCTGCTCATGAATATTCATGACGGGGGGGGGGGGCGTGGCATGTGGAGTGACGTCACGAGCATTACACACAAACAGACATTCTTGGCTCATATAATACCTGATATTTCTCAAATTCTACGGGCAGATTTATACCAAAAAAAATCATGCTGACAAAATACGGCGAGATGGATGTGGCGTGCGAAAATAATTCCACGGAACAACATTCCGAACCGTTCCGGTATAGAAAAAAATAAGCGTTGCCCATTTCCCGTGATCCTCCACCACAGCGCGCAGTGAGGTTTATTTCACCGCCCGTCACCTGTAATTCGTTATTCCTCAGCACTGCCAGCTTCTCTGAGGGCTTGCTGGCTTCGTTCATTGACAAGTCGCCCAAGCCGGTCGGCTAACCCGCACACAAATTTTGTAATGACATCGCCCCACCCACTTTTTTCTAACCTTGAACAGGTTTGAAGTTCAGCCATGCCTTCTGCATCCAATGTCACGTGCGCTCTGTTTTTTTGGGTATTTTATGCAAGCATTTACTTATTTTGAAAATGAATGATCATTCAGTTAATCAGGGGAGTATGAATGCGCATTCGTTACAGTTTCTGTCAATAAGCGTGAGTTGGCTTTGGGCATCCAATATGCCACAGCGTTTCTCAGCCAAAGTTTAACTCGTACCTTTCATTTTTCTTACTCATGTCATTTTAATCACTTAACTCTTTTTTTTCCTTTCCCCGGCATAACAAATTGCTGATGCCACCGAATTTATTTCATTGAGTGTGACTTGAATAGCCTTAAAGTAAAGGCTGTTTATTAAAAATCCACGCTCAGCAAGTTAGCCAAGCTTCAGCCTTACTTTAAATTTAATTTTGAAATGTATTTTTAGTCTAAAACGTGGGTATGAATATTCTAAGAGCAGGCAGTGTTTATTATTATTGTTTAATTAAATACAACTTGCACGAAATTTAATTTAACTTGAAGCCTCGTAATTAATTAAAGGGTGCTGACTGTCCATCATTCCACTGGGGTGTGTGAAATTAGTGCTAGGTTGTGGGAAGTCAACAGTGATAGTCGTATTGATAGACCATAGTGATATGGAATTTGCACTGCTGCTTAAGGTCTCCAATTGTATTTAGCCTTACCCCCCAATGCTCATTTGAGTTGGGGACACTTTGCTTTGAGTTCGAATTTTTTTTTTTCATGCATATATTCACAAAGCTTAAATTAATCATTTCAATTAATCAGAGGATTACAAACCAATATGAGTGACCTTTATTATTTGGACCTCTAGAACAATCCCTGACGATATCCTACAGTCTATGAATCACCTCTGAAAACCTGGCTGACATGGGGGAAATGCTCCCAGAAACATTCCATGCGGAGACCGACAGACGTTTTTCAATGTTTAATCAACTTTGCAGTTTTAGTCTGAGTGTATGTCCGTGTACCTTATCCATTATGTCACACGCACAGTCTATTTCAGTTGACAGGAATTCACAGCCAATCGCGCATGAAAGTAAGACCTCTATATTTTTCTAACATGCGCATAATGTCGCTTTTGGTAAAATCATTAAAGATGTGTGGCAGTGTGGTTAGCGCACTTGAGTCACAATCAGAAAGTTGCAAGTTCAAACCCAGTTCTAAGCTCTATCAGCCAGGCCTCTGAGCCTTCTAAACCTTATTAATATTATACGATTATGTAAACACGCAGATATTATTGCACCACCTGTGAACACCTGTTCCATAATTGGAAACTTGAGAGCTAAAATCCCACTGGAGGTCGACACATCTAATCATTCATCCGTGGTCAATGAAGAAAGTCAGCAGTGGAGCCCTCATTACTCTGAGAGTGGCATTGTCTTTGTGCTGTTCGCCTTTTGGCGTCCTCTGGTCTGACACCGTTTTGAGACGAGGCTCAAATGAAAGCTGTCTCTGGTGTGGACCAATCAGTTTCAAAGACAATGCATATATTATCAGAGTACTTTTTTTGTTTCCATTATGACTGTAGGTATTGTGGTTAATGCAGACATGAATCCTCGTAAAAAGGTTTCAGTTTTGTTTCCAGAAAAAAGGGGAAAAACCCTATTACATCTTAACACCTGTTTTGTTGCCAGAAAAAAGGGGAAAACCTATTCTCTGTGGATATTATATACAGATATTGGTTTCAACCATGGAAATGTGAAATTTTCACCACTCACTCAAGGCCGCGAATGAATATGCTAGCCATACCATTGCTCACCTGCACAGAGCAGTACTTTAACCTTGACTTTGACTTCGCAAAGCCAATCAGAAGTGCTGTAAAAAACTATAACCGGATATTGCATTTTATTGTTGCTCATGATTTTATCACCAAACTATACTTGTGGCGTGTGAACACATATATATATGATGTGATCAGTCTACCTCTCGTGCCATAGTTTAATTCAGAAGTAATACATTTATGCAGCAATCATAATAGCAGTATAATTGATTACTCTATTTTAAGTGAAATGCAGCTGTCATGCTTGGGCACTTCTTTCTTTCCACAGTTGACCAAGAGCAATACTGCAGAAGGCAAATAACATGTCATTGGTGTTTCATGAATAAAGATGAACTGAAAACACAGTACCGTGTTTTCATATGGTGCTTTGTTATGCGTACCTTTGGGCCGCAAACAGAATACAACTTTGCACGCTTTCACCTTTACCTGTGATGGACTCGACTCGTAAGAGTGAGCAATCACAAATGTTCGGAGTTACTTGAAATTATACAGAACGAGTTGCATAACCAAAGAGAGACGAACTTTTGCTATTTCAAATACATTCTTATTGCCATTAATTATTTATAGAAAGTATCATTATTATATATTTGAACATATTGGCTTTTTTTTTAAAGCACATTTTTTGCAATTATGATCTACTTTCCCGCGATTCGTAACCCCGGTTAGAAAATCTTGCGCGGTGCGTCAAAATCAGTTCTCGTGATGTCGACGCAGTCGGAAGACGAATGTTACGAGCAGCTGAACAGGAAGCTTCACAGTCTGTTGCCGTGTAGCAGCACCAAGCCTGATGATGATTGGCTGCTCCGTCTTGCAAAGGAAGATTTGACTCCTCGTGCCCTAGACTTGGTCGGACGGTTCCTCGATTCATTTCCGGGATAGTTTCTTGGCGGCCGGTGGCATCAAAAGACGATGACTCGTGCCGCACGTTCGAATGGGAAAGCAGCGGTTGAATTAAGGCGACTTCTGATGGAGAGTCTGCAACTCACTCAAAGGGAACAGATACAGCGTCAGACTGTTCTGTGAGTACCGGTGTGTTATGTTGCATCAGTGTGCCCCCAATACGTCAATTTTTCCATACCTTTTAGTGTGTGTGTCATCTCGGTCAGTCAACCTGTGGCATCTGGGTCTGCCCCGTGACCTCCTGCCAGCGGGCGTTCGACACTTCACGTGGCCTCAGGGTGCACATAGCCTGGCACAAGCGTCGTGGTGATGTCACCACCACTTAGTGGCGAATGGCGGTTGTTGTTGTTGAATGACTGGTGAGAGCGTATCCCCTTTCCTGATTCATCTCAAATGGCAAATATGGTCATGATTATGACAATGAGAACGACGTTGATGATCACGACGACGATTTCTATCATCTAGGAGGAGAGCAGGATCAGCCCCCGGGTGGGGGTGGCAAGGAGTGGTCCGAGTGGAGCCAGTGCTCGACCACGTGCGGCGAGGGATCGCAGGTGCGCACGTGGGCCTGCGTCCCCAACCTCTGCAATGGCACCCTGCGCGAGCAGCGCATCTGCAACAACTCAGCGGTCTGTCCAGGTGAGGCCCGAGATGATGAATGTGACGCGCCGTCACCTCGTCTCCGGTGAAACGGGCAGGTGGTGCGGCCGTGCCCAGGCCAGCCGACTCCGCGGTTTAGCTCGCAGTCCCGGGAGACATCCACAGAGGGTTTATCTTTCCTTCCCAGGATCCATTGTACCTGCGACTGAGCGACTTGGATAAAACAGTGTTGCGTGCGTTTTGGCTGCGGATCATCCGTGTGCGTGCAGTTTAATCCAATGGACGATTTTAAAAAGCATCTGTCTCTTTTTCACACAATGCATTTCATTGTGAACGTTAGAAGGTTGGTACTTTTTGGGCGTTTAACGATTTGGTGTATATTCATTAATTCGTTCATATTGAGTCTCACTCTTGCAATATAGGCATCGAACGGTATGTGTGAGAATCGATTTTTGTATTTTGTAGAGAATATGCTATTAAATTACATTTCATGGCATTCTGATATGTAAGTATGTTGAACTTATTTCTTCACCGTACGTAGCCATCCATGCTAATCGGAGGTGCAGGGAAAAACCACAAACTGCACACATAAATCAGTTCTCAAGAAATACGTTTTCGATTGATATAAAAAGTTAAACAAGCAATACAATAAACAACACAACACATGGAAAGCTAGTGCAGCCAATAGAATAAAAGCATGTTACTCTGCAGAGTGAACCCAAGCCTTGAGGCAATCATGTCTTGAGAGGTGCTACCGTATAAACCAGCTGAGCGATGCACAGGCAAAGGTCGATTCAGCGAGGGACAGTCAGGCGGAACGGAGGAACATGCAGGCCCCTCCGGTGGATCCCACCACTTCAGCTGGGCCTCGCGCTTCTCTACAGCAGGCTGGGGTTGGTTTGTGATGACACAGGCAGGCTGAGCAGTGGGGCACCCCCAAGATAAGATCCTCCAGTGGGGCGCCGTTTCTCAAGTCGAGCTTGAACGACCCTCGGGTTATGAAGGGCGTCGTCCACCGCGTGAACACGTGCGGCCCATCGCATTGCGTCCACGGTAAGGGGCATCCAAGTCGGACAACCGGCGTGAATGTAACGCTCTCAAAACTTCCAGCTGTCGAGAAGATGATGATGATGATGATTATGATGTTACGGCAAGGTCGGATTGGTACTCGCCAGTCGCACTGCGGGTGCAGCAGTCTGCAGTCGGTGAGGCGAGGGCTTCTAAGATCGGAGACTGGGTCTCATATGCCACGTGGCCCTGGGAAGTTGCAGCGGTTGATAATGCACAATAAATGAGGAAGTGAGAAGAGAATATGAATGCAGTGGTCTGAGAAAAGACAAAAATAAATTACGAATTGAAGGCAGGTAGCTGAAATTAGTCCTACGAAGTAAAAATGGCTGGAAATCAGAAGCGAGAGGGAGCGTGAAGAGATGGGCCAATGCAGGCTGATGATGTCGCTGAAACTCCCCGTCTTGACAATGTTTTTAATCCTGGGGGAGACGATGCGGAATACAGCAGCTTATTCCTGTTACACGTCTTAGATAGCTTCAGGGCTATAATTTTTCCATTATGGCAGTGCGCAGGATTCTGTAGCAAACAGCTGCTTGCGATTTCTTCAGGGGTATCACAGCCCAACATAAATATGAAGATTAATATGAACCAAATTACAATCAAATGTGCTACATAGTTGTAATGTACAGTAATTGCCTAAGTATCTCTTATGAATCAGATCATGCTTTAGCTATATCTTGTAATATTATGTTCGCTAACAGTGGCTGTCTGTTCTACGAATTAAGGTGCCTGCCATAGAACTGTAGAATTTCCACAATTTGCTCGGGGCTATCGATGCAGACGGAACTGCTGCCCCGTGCATATTTTAAGATGGAGTCTTTCGTTTTAATGATTCATCGTTTGGTAATTAGGTTTTTAAGCGTTTTTATTCTATATAAAATTTTTGCAGTAATGAAACTAGCCTGTTGGCTCGGTTCACAATCGGTGGGCTTGCGAGTTTAAATTCTGACTCGGTTGACTCGGTCCATCATCCCCTCCCCGGGACGATAAAACAGGTACCACTTGAGGAAAAGGCAACCGTGGTTGCCTTACGGACAGACTTGAATCGCCTCTTAGAAATGTGTATTCACCACCACTGGCTCACTACCTCATTCCTTATTTGAGCAGCAGGAAATCACTTTTGACGGTTTTTTTTTTGTGGTAATCAGCTGAGGCACCATAATGTATTTCCTTGAGATTTGAGGTCAGTCCCTCCGTCTTTTTGCAAATAATACATCCAGTTTCGCAGTGCCTCCCGCTGAAGGTTTTAAATATCCCTCTGGGATCCAGACTTCTCCTTTAATGTCACCGAGTTATTTTATGAATGTGCACAAATGGCACTAGAGGGGAGGACAAAGCCTCCTAAAAATGAATTGCCTCGGGCCGTATAGTTGCAGAATGCCAGATAAGGGGCTCTCTAAGGTGGCATTAGTCATCAAACACAGAGGGAAACGAAAACAATTCAGGCCACGGGTATGGCTGAGGTCACGTGAACGTTTATTTGAAAGGAGGAAAAAAGTTGGATTTGTCTTTGACTGACCTTGGCAGAGAACCTTGGATAAGGATAAATGGTACAGTATACGTTCATTGTCATGCAGCACAAGTCATGCATGGTATATGAATGTGAATAAATAATGACGGTGATGATGTTATAAACAGTCTGCATGATACATTATCGTATGCAATCATGTATAATCCCATTTGTATGTGAGAGTTATTTATAGCTTTTTAAGGGGTCTTATTGATTATTGTGTTGGAGGTGAATGATGGGCCAGAAAACAAATGCGTGTATTATAGCAATGCTATTTTAAAATTACAAATTCTAAGTACTTAGTACTTAATACCAAAGAAAGAAAAAGATCCCCGTCGAGCCATAACAGACTGTAGGGGCAAGTGCTGTCAGCGAGCACCTATGAAGGCAGGCACGGCACACCAGGGAGTGGGTGGCCAACACCACGCCCAGCCGCCTTTGTCTCCCCCAGTGGCGATGTTTACACCACCGCACCAGGTACTCATTTGAGGCTGAGTCGATCTAGGGGGAGGCTCAGGAGCGGTTCAGATGATGAGGTTATTTCCCCCCCGCCCCCAAAAAAAAAAACGGACTACAAATACTGAATAGTGCGCAAAGAAGCGTACAGAGGCGTACGCCTGGAATTACATCGAGATAGAAAGATACAACATTGCATTTCAGAGTTGTACGCAGGCGAATTGCATGATTCGTTCAGGTCAGTAAGTGGGGCTTGGACACGTAGCTCGGAGGGTGGATGGCCCGATGGACATTAAAATCAAAATGGAATGGCAGTCAAGGAATGGAACGCTTCTTCTGTGAGGGACGGTCCACAAAGGAGGTGCAATGTTGTAATGGGTTTGTGCAAAGATACTCAGTGGAGTATACATTGCAGGGTAGTATGAGTTGGTGGCAGCAGTGGAGTAATCTTGGCTGATGATGATGATGATGGTGTTGCTTTTACATGGGCCACACTTTAATTGGATGTACTAACTTGTTTCTGCCTTGACCTGGTCTGATTATGCAGCTGTTTTGCAGCCAGAAGCAGAAGTTATTAATAATGATTAATAATTATTCATCATTGCTGCTGTGGAGGTCATCGGAGGCCATCATTACCGAACAAATAAAAACCAATTGTGTTCTCTCATTCAAATTGTAATAATTTTTAGGGGCGCAAAATTAACGCTCTTTGTTGCAAAAATGTTTAAAATGATAATTATGATTGCAGCTGTGTGTATTAGCTCACTGTGGTGATGGTGGTCTGGCTGCAGTGCCTCTTTTTCAACATTGAGCCACGTGATTGTTTGTCTATGCAGAACACGTGTGACCCGGTCTCCGTGGTGATGTGCCACATGCATGGTGGCTTGTTTTGTGTGATTGATCAGTTCGTCAGCTCTTTATGGACATTAATGTTCGTTAATTATTAATGAGATGGCCCAAAATCCCAAAAATTGAGACTTTGTGAGATTTGTTTTGATAAGTCACGATTCAAGTGGTGTTCTCAGCCAATACTGTTGGATGTTATTGTCTCCTTGCTCCTGCCAAAATTCGCCAGTTCCTCCACACACCCCTTGTGGGTGGTATCAGCCTTCATAGGTGCTCGCGAATAGCACTTGCCCAAACAGTCGCTTAAAGGCTACATGGGGGGTATTTTTCTTCGTTTATTCATGCACTAAGGCACATTCTGGCAAATTGCCCGATGATGCTGGATGTAATTATCAGCGCAACGTCATACTCAAAAATTGTAAATGTTGTGGATTCACTCTTCAACACACCGGTGGGCTAAAGTAGTGAACTATTTTGTCTTTTGTCAACGTGACACTTTTTTACTGATTGGCCGTGTCGGGTGGTGGAGAGTTACGACACATTTATAAATAACGCGACTTAACCCAAAAACCTTTATTATGACTAAGACACAGTTAACGGTTTCACTCTACATGTGGCTCAAATAATAAGGGTGCCTTGATCTTTCATAAATTGTTTGCTACCAAACTCACATGAACTGTAATAGACACGCCCTGCGATGGGTTTGGCATATATGGAATATTTCCAAGTCTTGAGGTTGCATTTGATTGCCAACAATATATTCGTTTGCAATTGGTAACAACTGTAAGATTAACAACTGGTTTGCTTTTTACCCCAGCTTGAAATGTATTACTGCACGATAACGCGAAGAAAAGTAGGACATCAAATATAACATAGGATTACGGTTAATTGAGAGATCCATTATTAGTCGAATATACCCCATTACGAATTATCTGCTTCATAACTCTTGCTTTCTAGTTATCCTGCTTCCAAAGCGCAGTACGTACCAAAGACAGAAGGCCCGTATGCACAGGCATTCATCATTTCCAAAATAAATAAATAATTTGACAAACTCATAAAACCCAATGGCCCTAAGCCTCTTGGGACACCTAGCACCATACAATCTCAATAGCTGCACGGTGCTAAGCCACTTAATGCACATCTGGCAGCACAGAGC